AATCTGACATTGAAAATCTAGTGTGCGGTATGATCTTGAACGATAATAAGCTCCGTTAGGAGCACACATAGCCTCGCTGAACTGGTATCAGTTAGCACTTCAAACGAATAGAGTGAGGACACAGTAAACAGCAGTCTTACTTGAAGTAATTTCCTTTCACTTACTCGCCACTCAGTCCTACTGAAAGCTTCTCTCAGCTCCAGGCCTCAAAGTAAAACTCGCCTAACGAAGAAATGTGCATTGTAAATGAGAAAGCTGCATTTTCTGACACTTTGCCCTATGAAAGAGTCTTGAAGGGCAAAATTACCGTGGTAGTTTAGCTCTGTAGTTTGTCACAGAGTAGACATGAGCATTGCTTGAGCTTATTCTGTAAATTCCTGCGTGTGATTGACACCTGACTGCGGCTCGTCAGAACGGAACATGGATATGGGACACCCAGTAATGTGGGCTGTCGTTTCTCCAGCTGTCAGGATTTGCATAATCACACTAACATCCCAAATGGCCAAAGTGATTCTAGTAAGGGCGGCTGTCAATCATCATCAGCGGGGTCCTATCAATCACACACACGTGCAACCACTGGAGGAGGAAATTACCTAGGAACTGGACCACGAATGAGTGAATGAACAAACTACTGGGCTACCTGTATCTATTAGGTATTTAATAGGGCTGTGAATCTTTGGGTAGACAGCGAATCGATTCGATTCACGATTCATAGGTTTTCGATTCGATTCAAGAACGATTTTTACAAATTCACAACGATTCAATTCGATTAGATTCACAATTAAATTTGATTTGATTCTATTAACGATTCAATTCTGCATTCTTTAAGTGCATTCACAGGATTATTTAAATGCTTCCCCTAAATTCTTTAAATGCTTAGTCAGGGGGCAAATTACACAGCAGCCTTTATGGTTACAGAACAATAGGTTAGAGAAAAAAAAACACTTGTCTATTGTTAGATGCTAGTTTAATGATGCTATGACATGACATGACATATGTAGAAATTTATGTAAGTCAAGATTTTAAAAAAGAGCTTTAAAAGTATTATATAGGCTAACATTTTGTCACACCAGGGGCATAGCCATCATTTCAGAAGTGACAGAAATGTAAAATACAATAAATTTATGTATGCATGTATTATTATTATTTTTGTAAAAGGAATTATTTTCTTATCTCTTACTTTGAATTTGCTATAAGAAATCAAATACACTTCTGGACAATAATCAATCATTTGTAGGGATGTAACGATTCACTCAACTCACGATTCGATTCGATTCACGGTTTTCATTTCACGATTCGATTCACGATTATTTGTTTATTTTAACAAAATGAGATTTAAGACAAATTATAAATTAAATGTGTCCTTTTATTATTGCTTGGACAAAAAAACTTTATAGTTTTTTTAGGCTACTGTAATAAATTACATGTCAATTAGCACTGCATCATTCATAAATTGTATTTATTTATTGTGTTTATTATCTTAACGTTTCAGTTCATTCTGCTTTTATACAGTTTAGCTGCAGATATAGCCTGGCACGTTTATGAGCGCAAGATCACTTCTCTTTCAGTGCAAAAACTTCTTTATCTAATTTTCATAAAATAAAATGCTACAGTAGCCTATTTAACTTTTCCACTCCATCGGCGAATGATGATTCTGAAAGAAAACACACCCGATGTCTGTTTGCTATAGCAACGAATGCTACTTTCATGCATCTGATTAACAGATAAACCTCGCACTCTTATTTCATGCTGTGGTTATTTTAACAGTTTCCTTCGTACATTCGGTTGAAGGCGATTATTAAAACACATTTATCATTAAATGGAACTGTGCGTATGCTTTAGACACTTAAATTTTTGCTCCGTCCATGCAATAAATGCGCTGCCTTCGACTGCTCAGGTAATGACGTTGTCGGTATGACCGAGAGCCATTGAAAAACTACAGAAAAGCAAAACTACTTCACTTTAGCATTACTGGCCACGAGTACTAAGGAGAGATCACACATCAGCTGCTCAAAAAATGTGTCAGTGAGACGAACGGAGCGCGAGCGCAATCCTGTGACAGTCACAGGCGGTAAATAGTGCAGCGCGTGAAAGAGAGATGCGAGGCACGAACACTGTTCAAGGTCTTCATTAATTCCTGCTTGTAGTAATTTAATGTGTACCTATATATTTTGAAAGCATTGAATCGCAATAGAAATCGCGATTCATTCGATTCTTAGCGTTTTAAATCGATTACTGTCCGAAATCCACGATTCAAAAATCCATGTTTCAAGATCGATGCATTGCATCGTCAGGGTTTGTAATCGATGTATCGTGAAAACGAGTGAATCGCTACACCCCTGGTATTTAATACTAAATCACTAGCAGAAAAGACAATACTACTATTCTTTTACTGTATTGCAGACAAAAAAACATGTTCAAGCTTCTTTCTGCACACCATGAGGTTTTAACATAGATGTGTCAAACTCAGTTTAGGTCGAGGGCCAGATTGGACATAATGTCACCTTATGCAGACCATATATTTTGATTTGCCTCTGCGCATGCACAATACTAGGGATGCGCCGATCCGATATTCATATAGGGTATCGGCTCCGATACTGTCATTTTTTGTCGAATGGGGTATCGGTCAGAGAGGGCCGATCCATACCCGAGATCGTGCGTATTATTCTGTGTTACTTCTGAAGCCATACGATAGCTTAAAGGGTTACTCCACCCCAAAATGAAAATTTTGTCATTAATCACTTACTCCCATGTCGTTCCAAACCCATAAAAGCTTTGTTCGTCTTCGGAACACAATTTAAGATATTTTGAATGAAAACCGGGAGGCTTGTGACTGTCCCATTGAATGCCTAGTAAATTACACTGTCAAGGTCCAGAAAAGTATGAAAGACATCATCAGAATAGTCCATCTGCCATCAGTGGTTCAACAGTAACGTTGCGACGAGAATACTTTTTGTACGTGAAGAAAACAAAAATAACGACTTTATTCAACAATTCGTCTCCTCTGTGTCTCTCCGCATCACCGTAGCGCCATTTTAGAGAATATCCACTGGACACAAGCAGAATACGCTCTTCTGTGTCAGCCGCGCTGCACGGATGCGCTGGTTTCGTTCAAATCAAAGTGTAAATACACGTAGAAACTGTATCCTTTTAAGGTTTACCACCTTTAATGTGAGCTAAATATGAATATTTAAGTCCTTACATTAAAGTTCACACAAACTCTTTTCTCCGCTGTGGCTGTCAGTCATCCGTTCAGCCTTTAAACCCTGGTCGCATTCGGTTAAGACAGTCAGCTCGGTAAAGCTCTCTAAGATCATTCTGTGTTCCCATTATTATACTTGATTTGTAAATAAATGTCTATGATTTTGCAAAAAGGACTTTATCTTCTAGCCAGAGTTTAATGTTGTTTTGTTACTTGCTACCGGATGTCTGTGAGCACAAAACACGGGCGTAGAAAAGACTATAAATTGTTTTTAACGCGCATAGTAACTGAAATTTAAAACTGTTAAAAGAAAGGCTCAATAACTGTTGCACAGATATAATACACTACGCATCAATTTCTCTTCCCTTTGTGCTTTGCACTTTTTAATGCAAAGCGCTTACAATGTGCGCATCCGGTGTGCAGAATAATTGAATGATTGAAGCTGTGATGCCATGTTGCTTCAAGCGCATCATTCTGCACACCGGATGCGCATATTGTAAGCGCTTCGTGCCACACTGTATTTGTTTTGTCCTATCGAATCTATCATATGTTGTTGCCTTATTGAAAAATATGCTATACATTTAAAAGAAATGTATTTTAATTTTATAGTTTATACTTATATATACATACATTCATGAATGTTTTTCATGAATGGATTTTATAATACAAATAGCAATGTGTAACATTTTACCATATTTAGTGCAACACTTTTATTTGTTCCCCACAAAATATTGTTTTTTCACTTTTTTGTTATATTGTTATTTTGTTATAATATTGTTTGGATTTCTAAAATTATTGTGCACTGATTTTTGTAGAACAACTTTTGCTGTCGAATTATCCACTAACCTAGTTTATGATATATTTTTGAAATATTTAAATTTTTGAAAAAGAATATTGAAAAGAAGAAAAAAAGAAAAAGAGCAACACACTCTCATTTGTATTCTGTCACACTATAATAAGCCACCTAAATCACAAAGACAAACATAAATATTATAAACTGTTCAACTCATTTTAATTGCAGGCCTGCCTCTCAGTTAAATTCCAGTAACACTGAATCAATATTAATGTTTCACTTGGAAAGAAAATGCAAAAATATTCTTGTGAGTGTCCATATTGCCATTATCATGAGTGACTTGCACAACCTTTAAAGTGGGAAAATGAAATGGATTGCCCTTGGACAGTTACAAATCCAGTTTCAGCTAAAAAAGCACAACGATAACACAGTAGGGCTGCACGATTAATCGAATGTGATTGTCATGCGCATTTTGATAGTAATGCCGGTTCTGTAATTTACTGCTGATCACAGAACCGTGCTTCACTGAAAGATACGCATGACAATCACAGCTTCTGTCGAATCGCGATCTCGATTCCATTTCGATTTATCGTGCAGCCCTATAACACAGTACAACTTTCCTGCTATAGCTAAAAATATTATGAATATACATTACTACTCAAAATTTTGGGGTAGGTAAAATGTTTTTTAAAGTCTGTTATGCTCAACGAGGCTGCATTTATTTGATAAAAATGCAGTAAAACTGTAATATTGTGAAATATTTAAAAAAAAAATGACATTTAATACATTTAATTTTTAATACATTAAAAAGGAGAGACTATAAAAGACTACTGTCAATTTTGAACAATTTAATGCATCCCTCCTGAATAAAAGCATTAATTAAATTGAAAAAAAAAGAAGAATGGTAATGTATCATATCAACAAAATTAATAGATGCAAAAATTTTAGAACAATTTACTTTTCATCAAATCATCCCACAGTGAGAGCTGTATCAGAATGTGTTACCTGACGCAAAGTCCGGGCCACCAGGCTCTCCAGAACAGGCCCTCTATCCTCATGAAGAAGATGAACTTCATCCAGGATGAGCAGTCGGACGATCTGAGACAAAGCCACGTCCCCCACGCTCTTCCTTGTCACCACATCCCATTTCTCTGGAGTCGTCACCAACATCTACAACACAATACAGTCATTGGATGATTAAGGCCTTGCAAACATGTGCTGTGAATTATCAGCAGCTTGTCCTGGTGTTTGCCAGTAACTTGATTTTTGCAGTATACTGTCAGTCGCTTTGATACAAACTGTCTATTAAACAAAACAAACAAATGTGAAGATAAACCAACAATAATGCATACTAGAGGTTGCGCTGCAGATATTTTCTTCTAGTCTGTGTCAACAAGTCGTGATCACACGACTTCAGTTGCATGTTCTATACATGATGAATGATTAATTTTCTGGATGACAAGTCAACTATTATAATTCGTGCAAGTCCTAATGCATACTCAAGCGAATGAGATGCCTCTACCACCTGGATAACTGTATGAGCATGTTATGAGATTTCTACCATTTTCAAGAATTTTCTATATGACCAACATTCATCTACTGATAACATATGTGTGTTTTGTACACTGGTATCTCTTTCTCACTTTCTCTTAGAGGACTTTTTGTTTTGCATTAACAGTACTTTTACAAATGACTGGTGGAAACTAGGTCTGTGAGAAGCTAACTCTTAAGAAAAATGTCCTTTATATCTCTCGAGAGAATTACATGCAGTTTGTTTTTAAAAAAGTAAATGAGAGGCTAAGGTATAGAAATATCTCGGCATCAGTACATCCACCATCATCAGACAAATGAACAGAAAAGGCTATCATTCTCACCGGTCCATTTATAAAGGTGACTGATTGTAAACTGAACATCTCCTCAATATGTGAAGGGATACTTGCTGAAAAATGATGCTTATATATCTCTAATGACTTACGTTTCAGATTAAATCTGGCCAGTTTGATTACTTTTCCACACCCGTGAACAGTTAGAACCACTCCAAAAGAAAGAGCCATTGATACATGTGGCAATGTGAGCCTGTATACAGTTTTACGGTAGATGAGCTTCCCATTCAACATGACAACAGAAAAAAAAAAAAAAAGCTTATCATAAACTTGTCACCAAAATCTTTTAGTAAAGGTTTGATTAGACGTACCAAAGCCTCAGGCCAATGCGTCACATCACCTCAACGAACGTGCCCGATGTACAAAAGGGTGTAAGGCTGCATTCACATAATCAGTCTTTGTGGCTAACAAAATTAGTCACAAATACTGATTTTCACAAAAGTAACAGTATTTCAGTTACCATCCATAAATAAAAGGAAACACAGTGACGACATATATCTAAAAAAAAACTGGATGACAAATAGCTCATATCTTCATCTCTGTGAATTACTAAAACCCCACATAAAAAATCCACGCATTATGCAAACAATGTGTGTGCAGTGCAGAATGTCTATCACACAGTATGAAGTGACAGAGAACCTCTACTGTGTTTCCATTCACTAAGAACAGGGTCACTAAGAAAATGTCATTCTCAACATGGGAATTCAACAACTTGGAAATGTAAAATGAATAAGTAATGTGGCCATGTTTAACACTATAAAATAGAATTTAACTGTATTCTACAACCATGTGAATGTAGCATAGGCCTCCTCCAGGGCTGTCATTTGGAAAACCCTTGACAAAAACCTGGAGTAATGAGCACAAAACCAGGTTTATGGATGAGTTTACATTTGGAAGAAGCCAAGAAATCCCTTCAGCCTAGAACCTCTGATTCTGCCTATTAAACACCATAGAGTTTTCATAGTTTTTCAAAATCACCTTGTGGGAGTCCTAAGGTGTGATGGCTCTACACAGCCATATTACAATTAAAAAATAGAATGCCATTTCAAACACATAATGCAATTTTGCAGGAAAAGATGCAATCCCGTACTACAATTACTGCTACCCTCAACTCATCAAATATATTAGTGGTTTTATGAACAAATCAAATACAGCATCTGTGCTTAATGCAATTGTCACGCCACAAAACCCCACCATGTGGGTTGGGGAGTGATACGTTGTTGAGGATGCAGCAGACTACCACAATCTGAGATACTTTACTGGGCATCACTCCACCACTGGACACAACAATCTCCAGTGACCCAAAAATCTGAATCAGAAAAGTGATTTAAAATGCAGAAAGTGCACTCAACTACACCACAGTCCTGTACATATACCTAGTTATAATGCTCTTCTCCCTCATTTGAATGAAAACAAAAGATTAATTGTATTTCACAGGTGCAATCTACATTAAATCTAATTTACATAAAAAGTAGGCATGTTTGCTCTGAAACACAAAGTCAGTATTTGGGATTGACAACTACATTTACTTCTACACACATTACTAGTGTGACTTCCAAATTGCAATGAACATACAGCAGGACACAAGGCAGTTCCAATAATGTCCGTATGAATGAGTAAGGTTGCTACAATCAATGTACAATCAATCAACCATCAAGTTACAAACTACTAAACAAGACAGCCAAGAGAAAGGAAAAAAGAGAGACAGAGACAAAGGAAAGAGGCAGCCAGAAACGAGGAGTGGAAATTATTTAGTGAAAATCACTTTTCAGAGTTTAGATGCCATTACAGAGATTTCCAAACATAGTCTGACAGAAATCAAACAGAATGCAATCTGGAATGAGGAATGATGAATGAACAGGAATGTAGGGATGCAGTAGGTCAAATACAGCAAGTGCAATTCTCCATCTTTTGGATGAAACAATGTTTTGAGCTTTGGGGCAGAGATGTGTGATTTGGTGAAGATGCTTTTGTGTGTGTGTGTGTGTGTGTGTGTGTGTGTGTG